ACAACTCGAATCCCCTTCACCCAAGGATATATTTGCCAAGTTTGGTTGAAATTGGCCCAGTGGTTCTGGACAAGAAGATGAAATTGTGAAAAGTTAACGACGACAGGTTACGGACAAATTTTGATCAGAAAAGCTCACTTGAGCCTTCGGCTCAGGTGAGCTAAAAAAGCATGATTGCTAAACTTACAAATTGAATATGTCGAATTCTTTCAAATGCTAATTAAAAAACAAGATGTGTTTGTGAAACACTGATGCCCCATATGGCAACTTATGGCGAAGGTTAAACTTTCTCAAATGCAAATCAAATATGTTGGTACCCAAAGTAAGTTCTTTTCCCGAGGAATAAACCTGTGAAATATGAAAGCCCTAGCAGCAACCATGTAAAAGATATGGAAAAGGTGAAAAATTTTCAAAGGTAAGTCAAACATTAAGGTCAAGGTCAAATAGTGAAAATTAATGGTGCCCAAGGAAGGCCTTCTCACAAGAAATATACATGTGAAATATGAAAGCCCTAGCACCAACCGTTCAAAAGATATGACCAAGGTTAAAGTTTATCAAAAGTAGGTCAAACTCCAAGGTCAAAAGGTCAAGGTTGTTGGTATCCAAAGTAAGGTCTTGTCACAAGGATTACATATGTGAAGTATGAAAGCCGTAGCTCCAACCCTTCAAAATTTATGGCCAAGGTTAAAGTTGGGTAAAATTTTGTAAATCTGGGTCAAACTCCAAGGACAAGGTCAAATATGATGGTACCCAAAGAAAGGTCTTGTCACAAGGAATACACATGTGAAATATGAAAGCCATAGCTCCAACCAATCTCAAGTTATGGGCAATGTTACAGTTTTTGCGGACAAACAGAAAGACAGACATACGGATGGACAGGGCAGAAACTATATACCCCCGAATCTTCGATACGGGGCTATAATAATGCTAGCATTTTTTTTTTCAGTCAGTATGAATGTAATAACATTGTAATATTCTCCATGCTGTCATCCACATTTTGCTACTCGCCGTCCAAAGAAAAACGTGACGCCAGGCACGTGACGTCCGTTAGCCAATGACTGAGCGTCATTTTAGTCCGAGGCAACGCAGAGTCACTTGGACAGTGTAACTGACCGGTCTTAGTTAATCCACACGATTAAGCCCCGATAAATTAATATAATATCTAACTCCATGTTTGTTGCATTTAACTTTCTTGAGGATATCGGTGGTCTTAGAGTTAGAAATTGAATAACAATTAAAATACTTCAAAATAAACTAGTCAACAAATATTTAAAAAAAATTCTTTTCATAATTTAAAAAACAAATTCAAATAAAGTTTTTAGTTATCTGCTTTTCACAAGACCTAAAGAAAATCTGTTATAAACGTTAGTCATAGATATAAATGCATGTAACGTTAGTTAAAGGGATTTCATTCTCCTTATTTTAGAATAATTTAATTCTGGTTGTAACGCTCCATTCCATTGGATAAAAAATACTTTATATCGTATAAACTGTGTTGCCAACGTTGAAAATGACGTATCGATCGCCTGACGTTGCATTAAAATTTTGTACAATTTGAAGTCATTTTTAAGGGCAATCATCTTATTTACTTACTAAATGAAGGAAAATTAAATTATAAGGAATGAATTTAAGTCACCCAATATATTCGGTATAAACTGGGTTGGAATAGTTTACGCTTTTTTATAAACCACTTCGCAGTTTACAAAGCGTAAACTGTCACAACCCAGTTTATACCGTATAAAATGGGTAGCTATTAAATTAATTTCAGAAAAATTGCACTCTTGAATAAAAGAAAATTAAAAGGAATTTTAAACCTCTGGTATAAATTCAAGGGCATGAAGATATTTAATTAGATCGAGGACGCCACTTTTAGATCACTAAATCAGTAAGATCAGTAAATCAGTTTTCAGAACCTTTAAAAATCTACTTTTATGGAGAAAATATAATTTTTGTCTGGTCCAAAACGCTCTGTTGCTTCACTTCCTCATTCTTATTATGCGCTTGCGAAAAAAAAATAAAATTCAAGAAATATCCAAAGTCTCAGGTCCCATAAAATGAATATCGATAGACTGAGAATTTTGATACAGTTGTATCAGAACACATATTCCTTACATTTGCATGCTCCAATTAAGGTAGTCCGATCCTCAGGGTCTGAAAATCAACGTTTCAGTAATTGAAAATGCTCACAAAAATGTCTCCGATTTCACAGAATAACGTGTATTTACCCATGATATTTCTTCAAAGCTCATCAGTAAAATTAATCATGTTATATAGGGAAAATTATCAAATCTCACATATATTTTCAGTGAATACGAATAAAAGCACCAGCTATGGATTTTCTAATTGAAAACTGATCAACAAATATATTGTTGGATTAAAAATTATAGGTATCCAGGCATTTGGAGAAAATAGCATGTTTTGCGCACTTATACTGTATTTTAGTTCTTCTATTTACTTCAATTATTATAAAATACATAGTGTGAAAAGTTTGTGTTATCATTGAAAGGCATCCCAGATCACTTCTTATTTCATATCATGCTAAAAAGTATTGGGATCTAATGCTAGATTAGAAGAAATTTGATTTCTCTAAAAATGAATTTATTTTTGTACTTTTGTGGGGTACAATGTCAACTTTTTAAAACATCATTTCTAAGACTTCAAAAAACCTTAAATCATATTGAAGTGCATGAAATGAAAATTGTTGCAAGGAAATATTTCAATTTCAAGCTTCAGTTTGAGACTTTTTGAATTTAATAATAGATTTAAGAGTTATCGTTCCTATCTGAGGATCAGATATCCTTAAATGCTGTTTGCTAGTGTCAAAGAAGAAAATAAATAAAGAAAAGTCAAGTGATTTTGACATTGACGATAACTTTGATGCGTTATATGACATAGCTTTTGTTTTCCGGACACTACATTCTTTTCTTGTTTTACAGTGCAGCTTTGTTTGTCAAAACTTTTCTTTGCTTATGTATTTTTTTTTATAAATCGTTCGCTGCTCTATGATACAAATATCAAAAGAGAAACAGAATTTTAAATCGTTACGTAATTTTAATGCACTTAATCTAAATTAAAATCATTAATAATTAAAATTCTTAGTTAAACAAAGTTCTATATCAGTATTCACAATAAATTATGTAATCTATGTGATGGTAAGAATCCTGTGTGATATATATACATAAATACTTAATGGGATAAACATTTATGTCTTCCTTACAGAATTATGAAGATCAGTTTTGCCACATGGACGACAACAATGCGTATGAAGTACTGGTAAGAATTACTAGACGAATATCTTGGGTTTTTTTTTAATTATTCATATAATGTGTGCTAATAAGGAACAACACATATAACTTGTAATACACTTTTCAATAAACAACAAAAATAAAAAAAACACTAAATCAAATGAGTAACTGTATAATGATTTTCATTAAAACTTAAAACGTAATTTAATTAGGTTTTTTTTTCTTCGGTAAAAATTATAATAAGTAGTAGTGCATGTAAAACAATACAGGAACATCAAAATGTTTCAAAATTTAATGTGCAAAACGGGAGTAATAAACATGTTTGTATATTTCTTTATCAACTCGTAATCTTTGATAAAAAAAAGTATAACGGAGAATAAATAATAAATGACTATTGTTTTCCCTTTTTGCCATCAAGACCACGAATTCAGAAATAATGGGAAATTTAGAGAAGGATAGAAAAGTACAGAAAAATACATCGAGGAGTTGTGTTAAATCAGTTGTCATCTTCGTCGTCCTTGTTTCAGTCGTCGGCTGTGTAACGATGACTCTGTTTTTTCATCAGGAAAGAAATAAAGGTAGAAATAAAAATGACGGTAAATTCTTTTTCGTTTTCAAACTCTATTTCATGCATTGTAAGTCCAATGAACGAGAGTTAAAAAGATAACGAGACGACCTAGAGGCCTCAAAAATGACCCCCCCCCCCTCAATTATCCCATTGTATAAATCCTTTCTTTCATTGTCGTTTTAAAATCCATATGGTTAGTGTAAATTGTGTCATTTTACTTTTATTTACTGATTTATTAAAATTTAAAACAGATAAATTTTAGTTCAGTTGCACCGACATCAATTCCAACTTTTCGAAACGTTAATATAATCTATTATCTGGATAGATGTTTATTATTCATGTAACGTGTCACTATGTTATCATAACTATTAAGATAATCGGACTTATTTTTTTTTTCCATTTGGACAAGGTATTTAAATGTAAATGTATCATTGCTTCATGTGCGTAACTTTCCAAAGTCTGACCAGCTTGGTCAGTCAAACAAATCTTGGATATTTAAACTATAAAATAAATGTTTCTTAGGCCAAATAAAAAAATATGTGTGGTTCCGGCTACCCGACCTTCCCTATTTTTTACCCCCGACCCTAAACTTTTTTTTTGGCAATTTTCATATTTTTTTCCAGAATTTCTCCCGATTTCCATCAATGCCTCCAGTTTAAGTTTTAGTTTCAGCAATGACGGCCTCCTTGCAAAACATAGTGCAAGTGTTTAATAGTGTTAAATCCAAAGCAAGCTAGGTGTCCCCTACCAATATTGACTAGTATATTATCACATCACATCTAAATGCCATTTGCAAAGCAGTGATAGGTATTATTTAGAAAAAATTAAGAAAATCATTTTGTTAAAAAAAAAATCCCTACCTACCTACCCTAATTTTTTTGGAAGTGTAACCGGAACCACACATATTTTTTTGTTTGGCCTTACACATGATTCCTGCAGATCACACTCCAAATAGTCCCATGTTCTTTCTATTTAGTATTGTCTTATTTAGGATATAAGAATGATTGGTGATGATAAATTTAGATAAGATGCACGAACATTAGTTTCTTCTACAGATGTATTTCAATGTCATACAAAAGAAGCAAACTGCAAATTTAATATCTAGAAATACATGTTAAAAGAAGACCATACCTTGCATGAACTTTCATGATCAAATTCGTCTTGAAGGGGAAACGGAACAGAAAACAATGGTTTGCCCTAATGTACCTTCTAAAGGAATGAATTATACTGCAGCAGGAAAAACAGGTAGGTAGAGGTACTATGTAAATTCGTTACAAAGTCTTTTTTCTAAAAAAAAAAAAAAAAAAAAAAAAAAAAAAACAATTTCTGCAAACAAGAGGCCCAAGGGCCTTAACGGTCACCTGAGTATGATATAATAATTTGCATTATGCATAGAGTATAAAATGAACTGAAAGGTGAAGCTTTGTTGCCCAAAAGAAAATAAAATAGGGTGATCATGATCAACAAAATAATTGGTCTTAATATTCATTAACAGTTCATAAATTAGGTTCTAATCTGTTCCCCATTTATCACTTTCACCATACAGTATATTAACAAATTATCAATGCTTCTGTACTATTTTAATCCCTTGTTGAAAGCTCTTACATTGGCCTCTCTTGGTCTTTGATGAACATTTAATAAGACAAGTAATTTTTGTCTCATTTTTATTTATCTACTACTTACAAGTCTATATAATCATTAAAACAATGAAAGTACTTTTTGTATTATACAATAAAAATTCCTGCATAATTTTTTTTATTCTATTTACCTTTCAAGTACATTATTTACAGTGATAAATTATCAAAAGTAAATGGCAAAGGGGAATAACTCCTCTCAGTAGAATACAAACTAATAGAGCCCTGGCCAGGACTAGAAGACTTGACCAAATGGTCCAGATGTTCAAAAATCTGGTAAAAATTCCCTTCCTTATAAAATTTTTACTATATTTGCCTCAGATATGCCCAGGTGCGGAGAAACTTTTTAAAGAAATAATGCATTTTTACTACAGATTCACTATATTATCAATAGAGCCCCCCCCCCCCCCAACCAGAACACCAGAGCTTCTGACCCTGGGACCATAAGTTTGCTCATCATAACTAATCTCTTTGTTTACCTGCTTAACGCTAAGGAGCAAACAAGATTATTTAATAGAATTAATGCATTTTCGCTATATTATCAAGAGCCCCACCCTCACACCAGCACATCTGACCCAGGGGTCAAGAAATTCACTACTCTGAAAGAAGCACTCCTGCTCATCATAACTATACACTTAGCTTCTTTGCTTTTTTAACCAGAAGCAGAAAAGAATATTTTCAAAGAAATTTTGCTTTTTCACTTTATAATCAATAGAAGCCCCCCCCCCCCCCCCAGAACCCTTTAACCTGGGGTCATAAAAATTCACAATTTTGGAAGAGGCATCCTTGCGTACCATAACAATGTACTTAGTCTGTTTAAACAATACCAAGGGGCAGAGAAGATTTTCAAAAAAATAATTCACCTTCACTATAGGATCTATATAGCCCCGCCCTAGCACCAGAACTCGTCCCCAGGGCCATGAATTTCACAATTTTGGAAGAGGCATCCTTGCTTATCATAACGTTATACTTAGTTTGTTTAAATAATACCTAGGTGCAGAGAAAAAGATTTTTAAAGAATTAAAACATTTTCACTTTATTATCAATAGAGCCCCGCCCTAACACCGGGACCCCTGATCCAGGGGCCACGAATTTCTTAATTTTGGAAGAGGCATCCTTGATTATCATAACTATGTATTTAATGTGTTTCAATAATACCCAGGAGTAGAGAAGAAGATTTTCAAAGAATTAATGCATTTTCACTATATAATCAATAGAGCCCCGCCCTAACATCAGAACCCCTGCCCATGGGCCCATGAAATTCACAATTTTGGAAGAGGCACTCTTGCTCATCATAACTATGTACTTAGATACTGAATTTAATACCAAGGAGCAGAGAAAAAGATTTTCAAAGAATTAATGCTTTTTCACTATATAATCTATAGAGCCCCGCCCTAACACCAGAACCCCTGCCCCTGGGGCCATGAATTTCACAATTTTGGAAGAGGCACTCTTACTCATCATAACTATATACTTAGTTAGTTTATTTAATACCCAGGAGCAGAGAAGAAGATTTTCAAAGAATTAATGCACTTTCACTATATAATCAATAGAGCCCCACCCTAACACCAGAATCCCTGACCCTGGGGCCATGAATTTCACAATTTTGGAAGAGGGACTCTTACTCATCATAACTATATACTTAGTTAATTTATTTAATACCCAGGAGCAGAGAAGAAGATTTTCAAAGAAATAATGCACTTTCACTATATGATCTATATAGCCCCGCCCTAGCACCAGAACCCCTGACCCTGGGGCCATGAATTTCACAATTTTGGTAGAGGACTCAATGCTTATTACAATGATGCCAACAGTTTGACTGCTTGATGTCCAGGAGTAAGGAAGATTTTTAAAGATTGCATTAATTTTGGTGGTTTTAGCCCCACCCCTCAGGCCCCAGGGGGGCAGGGAATTTCACAATTTTTGTTCCCCTTCACCCGTAGATGCTATATGCCAAATTTGGTTGAATTTGGTTGGGCGGTTTCAGAGAAGAAGCTAAAAATGTTCAAATGTTAACGCACATCGCACGACTCACGACGCACGCCGACGGACAAAAACGGATAGCAATAGGTCACCTGAGTGACTCAGGTGACCTAAAAATGTTAATTTATTTTACATTTGTTTTACAGGAATTCAGGGTGTTCAGTTCTTGGTCTGCTTTACTGATAATGACCCCGATGCTAGAACCCAAACAAAGACGATATATATTTTATCAGATGACAATTTTGATTTTAAATTAATTTCGAAGTTTTCTGATTCAACACAGCTGTACAATGAAGTAGAGACACCTACGAGAAATATAAAAGAAATACACGTCACAAATGCGATTGCACTCTCAGATTTCAAAATCGAACAAAAAGCACTACTGATCGAGACCTCTAGGGAAGTGTCCGTTATCATTATTGATGATTCTGAATTATCGTCTGATAGCACTGTAATTTTACCAATCAAGTCGATATCGAATTCATACGTCATTTCTACACCTCGAATATTCAACAGAACTTCACAATATTCACAGTTTGCGATAATCTCGCCAAAAAACGGTACTATAATTAAAATTTATTTTCGGGTTGATCCTGATTTGTCTAGAAGAATAAATGGAATAACTTACCGAAATGGCAGTGAATTTATTCTTGTTTTAAATGAGCTTCAAACCTATGAAATATGGCACAATGCTGATGTATCAGGAACAATAGTTAATGCAACATCGGCTGTCGCAGTTTTTGCTGGAAGTAACTGCCTAGAAATTGCTTTTGAAAACAGTAGTGATTCTGGATATTGCAGTAAGCTTGATGAGCAACTTCCACCAATTGATAGACTTGATAAAATGTATATTGTTCCTCCTAACTATAATAGGAGGGGAACAGTCCTGAAAATCGTGTCTCCATTCGAAAATAGCCTAATATATAAGATTGGAAATAAACAATCAGAGAAAACACTTCAGCAGAGTGGATACTTTGAAATCGATTTCTCTGAAGAGGTCGTTGTGATAGATTCAGAAAAGCCGGTATTGGTCACTAGTTTTTCAACAGGATCTGACGTCACAGGTGACCCTTACATGATTACTGTACCAGGAATTAGACAGTATACAGATAAATATCTAGTGATGGTTCCTGAAAACTTCAAAGAAAATTACATCGGTTTAATTATTGAGGAAAATTCACTCAACAACATAATGTTAAACGAAACAAAAATTATACATCATTTGAATGAGAGGAAATTCTATAAAACCGTAACAATTAGGGACATGGACTTTGTCGTGCTTGTTTTACAAGTACAGGGAGGTTTGTTAAGAGTTCAATCGACAAATAATGCGGCGTTCGGATTAGTCGTGTATGGTCATAGAAAACACGATGGACACGGGTTTGCAGGAAAAGCAGTTCTGCCTGACGCATGTGTCCACCCTTACGGATAATTCCAGTACCTTTTACTTTTTTCCCTCGATTTTTTTAATGTGACCGCATTTGCAGATTATTATTTCGGAAATGGTATCAATGCAAACATTTTCATATGACAATGGACATTGTGTTTTTAGCCATTTAATACTCAGGAAGACTAAACTATGAATGAAACAATTCAAATAACCCTACAGCATTATGTTGTGTTTATAACGTATGCAATAAGAAAAGAAAACATTATCTACTTGATCGTAAAAGTATACACATGAATGTCTTCTCACTCAAGTATATATGTACAAGTACAAGACAATAACCCGGTCACTGGTGGTAAACAGTGTTCTTTTTACTTTTCATTTCAAATGCAAAATACTTTGTCTTTTTTTTTTCTTTTATTGACTAATTACATAGTATGGAAAAAACTGAAATATATTACCCTTAACGTAAGGGGACAAAATTCAGATGTAAAAAGAAACACCTTATGGTTACATGATTGTAATATCGATATTGCAATGTAACAAGAAACACATTACTGTTAGGAAAATCTATTTAAATATGATTGTAGATGGCACAGGGTTCCATTACATAGTTTTTAAGAATCGACGCTCAGTAGGGGCGTGTCAATTCTCAGTAGGGGCTTGTCAATTCTCAGTAGGGGCGTGTCAGTTCTTTTGCATAAAAAATTTACCTGTGATGTTATAAATGCCCATACAGCACAAGACGGTAGAAAAAATGTAGTTAATATTAAAATTTATGAATCAATATATACTAATTTAGATGTATATGCGCCAGATAACGAAAATTGTCGCTCAGACTTTTTTTTTTAACTACAAAAGTGGATATCCCAATTCTCTCTTAATAATCAAAATATAATTTTAACAGATTTTACTACTACTTTAACCAAAGAAGATAGACACTGTTCACAACAAGCTATAAGTAATAAAAACTCCAACTATTTGGCAGATCTACTGAAATATTTAAATTTAACCGATCTCTGGAAAATAACTAAACCAAATGTGATTTTACTTGGTCTGATGGACAAGGAAATCCAAAGAGTCGCACAGACTTTGTTTTTAAATCAAAACTTTTCGAATTAGAAATAGCTGGTATTCTTACTAAAAGGCACCAAGTATACAGAACAATAGATTTTCGGATCATTTGGCTATAAGATATGATTTTATTCTTGCTGGAGAAAAAAGAGGATACTGGAAATAAAATTCTTCTTTATTAACAGATCCAAGCTATACAAATTAACTTCGAGAACCGATAAAATAAAATAAAAAAAAGGAGGAAATTAATTATATTTTAGAGGATCAATTGAAGTGGGAAAAATAAAAACAATTGTTAAAACGTTTTTAATACATTTTTTTCGCAACAAACAAGTTCTGATACGAACATCGTAAGTCCATAGAGGAAGAAAACGAAAAATTACAAATAATAGGTACCAACATTACTGATATGAAAGAAAAAAGAAACAGTTACAGGCAGAGAAAGATGATATATATAATGATATTACAAAAGGTGCATTTATACGATCAAAATTAAATTGGATTGAAAAAGGCGAAAAGAAAACGCCTTATTTTCCACGATTAGAGCGACAAACACAAGCAACAAACGTAATACATGAAATAACAAGAGCACCGCTAAGCGGAGCATCCAGTCGCAGCAGGAACTTCACCGGTAATGGCAATTCTCAAGACAGACTTCAAACAAGAAACAATCACCTAGTAATCAGGGGCACCCAGAGTCACTATATAAAGTTTAAAATAAGGTAACGAAATTAAAAAAAAGTATTGCAACACTAATTTAATTTTTAACAAAAGTCAATGTAGATATGATCAGGGGGGGGGGGGGGATGTTGCATTTTTAACGAAAAAATCGAGGTGCAACTCATCTTGGTGGGATTGTCGCCCGCGTGGCGCAGTGGTTAGAGCGTCTGCTCTAGAGTCGCGGAGTAAGGAGTTGATCCTTACGCCGCGGGTTCGAATTCCACTGTGGGACGTGGAGACCGGTCCTTCGGATGAGACCGTATAAACCGAGTTCCCGTGTCGCAGTATGTGCTGGCACGAAAAAGATCCCTCACTGCTCAATGACCGTAAGTGCCGAGTATAGGACAAAATTTGCAGCTCTCCACCGGCAAGTGGTGGCGTCTCCATATGAGTGAAAAATTCTCGAGAGGGACGTTAAACAACATACGAACAAACATCTTGGTGGGGGCTTAACATGCAAATGCGATTGGGCAGTTTCCTTTATTCCTAGCAGAAACATATCACGTATGCTCTAACATTCAGTATTTTACCTGCCTGAGTATACCTCACATTGCATGCAATATGCATCATATCTGAGAATACCCACGGAAGCAGTATTTTTTCGAAATGAAAAATGACAATATACTTGTGACTTATGAAATGTTATAGCTTTCAAGAATTATGTGTGCCTCAAGAATAAATTCCATGTTGTAAACAGACACGTGTGGTAATATGATAATGAAACCGCGACGTGAAGCAATGTAAAACCTATTGTCAAGAATTTAGAATGTTAATAAAGGAGTAATAAAATAAAAAAAAATATGTATATATGTACAAAGCTAATACATGAAATTAATATCATTATTAAAATGTGATACCCATTTTCTGTACTCCATAAATAAAAAGATTTGTTGCTTTATGGTTATCAGTCCAACAAATGACATGTTTAAGTAAAATTGAGTTTCGGACTTCGGATTTCAGTCAATAAGGGAGGCCTATCTTACCCCGATATATATGTTTGTAACGATACAAAAAGCATGTACTGAATAGTGTAATGAATTTGTGAAAATCACATCTAGGATTTTTCTATCATTAACAATGTCAGTGTTAGAAAACGTATACTACAGTCGTGCAGTTACATTGGAACAACTAGATTGGACTATTACTGAAACCAACCAAGGAACACTTCATATTCATCTGATAAAGGTATTAAAGAAAGAGAAACGATAGGAAAGGATTTCAGCGCTTATATTTTACCTCTTCCAGGTATTGCAAAATATGTTACATGCATGCGCGCTTGTTCATGCGTGAGGGAATCGACTGGAGGACTGCACGTGACAAAGTGCAAAAATTTTAATCCTAACAGTACATTTGATTGTACAGTAAAGTAATATGCGTTTACAATTGATGTTATAGATTATTTTATTATGTATTGATAATTGATACATTGTAACAGATTCTCGAGAGGGACGTTAAACAATAAACAAACAAACATTGTAACAGTACCATATTCTTTTTTCATTAGGAAATATATATAGGTAGAAGAATAAAAAAAAATGTATGTTTCCAGGATTGTAAACTAATGACTGGATACATTTAATATGGATTATTTTTTTCATCCTATGAAATATCAAAAGATTTTTAGAATAAATATGTGTCGGAGTAACTTTTTTTTTCTTGGCGAAAGGTTGTAAAAAACAGTTTCGTAGCCATAAAATGTCAAGAATGAGTATTATATTCCTAACAATTGAAAATAAAATACGCTAACACGCAGTATACAAATATATGTATAATGTACTGTCGACACTGCAGGTTGAAAATATGTGAATAGGTTTTCCTTATCTTAAAGGTCAATCAAAAAAAAATTCATTGTATAAATATGTTTTAAGATTATCCCTGTAGTAAACATTCATACAAAGGTATAAGTGGCAAATTCGTTTTCCCTGAATTTAATTTTGTAAACGGACATGGTTTCGTTCCTACCTAAGCGCTCAGTGATATGTATAAAAAAAACATTAACGCAACTTTAAAAAGTCTTATCACGCTTTTGGCAAATAAAATGCACATTATGCAGATCCGACTGCATATTCTATTCTTTATATTTTTTTTCATCCAATATTGTTAGAAGTTCCTCAATACAAAAACGACATACAGCTTTAAATTTCTAATATTGTAAAGATGTATCTTTGTACAGAATCACCTCATTGAATTCAGGAACATAGGGAATATTCTTATATAAAAGATGCAGATAACGAACAGTCGTCAAGCTCAAAATTCCATTGAAACAATACCAATTTGGAGCAGAGCAAACACGGACCTCTAAAAATATCAGAGCTGGCATCAGGTGCCATTGGGGAGTAAGCGTCCCCTGTCGACCGGTCAAACCCGCCCTGTGCTCCTTGTCGTGATCGGGAAAACGGAAAAAATCCATTGATTGATTGTTGTTTAACGTCTAAATCGAGAATTTTTCACTCATATAGAGACGTCACCCATATACAGGTGAAGGGCTTTAAATTTTTACATTTATTTGGTACCCAGGGTCAACGCCTGCCTTAACACGGGGCCAGGGTTTTTAAGGTCTCATCCGAAGGACCCGTAACTTTCCCTTCAAAGTGCCGAGCGCTTTGCGAAGAAACAGTTGCTACCTATTTTTATCGACTAAGGTCAGTCTCGGCCGTGATTCGAACACACGGCCTTCCGATCACGGAGCAAGCGCTCTACCGACTGAGCTACCTTAACGGTTAAAAATTAAAAAAAATCCATAGAGAATTCAGTGCAAAAATAATGAAAACAATTTCTATGAAAAAAGTCAGTCACCATTTGACTTAATTATAGATTATATTTGCTGGCATTACATCGACCACAGAGTTTGCAAAATGTTGACTGTTGATATTCTTGTTTCATCAACTGATTTGTCAGGCTCTGTGGTATCTTTTATTCGAGTTCAAAGGGATATATCGAATCAAGGTAGGAATAAAAATGAATGCTAGAATTATTAACTGATAAAACGACAATATTAATAATCGATATATTTACATGTAAATGTTAAACTGACGGCTAGAACAAGAGTCTTCTTCTTTTCATGTAGACGTTCTTTGATAAAATCTGCTTCATGAATAAATACAAAAACAGGTCTTCTTATAACGGGGTGCAATAAGTTCCCATGGGGATTCCAACAGATTGTTGGAAGACTTGATCTCCAAACACTACATAGATATTGTCAATCAGAAACTCAAGCATCTGATTGATATCAACATCTGTGTACTTGTGTGTGTAATTAGAATATACTTTAACAAAATAATTTTGCAAAGGACTAATGACAAGTTGAGTAAATCTACGATTTCCATTTTTAT